AACATACTATTGTGACTACATACTATTGTGTTTATGATGTGATTATATGTGTTTGCACAATGTATGATTCTGTGTTATGAATACCATATGCACAAAAAGCATATCTGAATGACAAAATCGATTACAATGTTGTAATATTCAACTAAGGTCATCATATAGCTTATGGTAGACAAACTTATGGTTTTGAACTGTGGCAAAATAACTAGTTTAAATCGATTACATTAGTTATTAAATCAATTAAAACTCGTGTGTTTGCATATATCATTTTCAGATGTGCTATGATGGATCTTTGGAAAGAAAGGTTTTCAAAATTCTGTTAAGTGTTAAAGCTTAATTGATTATATGTTTTCTGTATTCAACTAAGTTTGTTATGTTTGAAAATTGATTTCTTGCTTGTCATAACTATTATAGCGGTCATATTTTTAAACGTGTTTGACCAACATTTAATGAAAATCGATTACATTAAATTTGTATTCGATTAACGGCTAAAGTTGTTGTAATTCTGTTACGTGTGTTTAATGTAACCGATTACATATGTAAAGTAATCGATTACCTTGCGTCAGGACTGAAATAAGTTATATATTGATGCATTGTTTGAAAATTTGTAACAATTGATCATACTCACATTTTCATATCTGATTTAATTCATTTAAGAGATTTTACAGATTGATCAAAAGCTCCAAGAATCAAGAACGAGAAGAATTAGATCATCTTGAAGCATTCTTGAAGTAGAACAGGGGACTATATTGACTTATTATTTTCGCACNCTAAGTTTGTTATGTTTGAAAATTGATTTCTTGCTTGTCATAACTATTATAGCGGTCATATTTTTAAACGTGTTTGACCAACATTTAATGAAAATCGATTACATTAAATTTGTATTCGATTAACGGCTAAAGTTGTTGTAATTCTGTTACGTGTGTTTAATGTAACCGATTACATATGTAAAGTAATCGATTACCTTGCGTCAGGACTGAAATAAGTTATATATTGATGCATTGTTTGAAAATTTGTAACAATTGATCATACTCACATTTTCATATCTGATTTAATTCATTTAAGAGATTTTACAGATTGATCAAAAGCTCCAAGAATCAAGAACGAGAAGAATTAGATCATCTTGAAGCATTCTTGAAGTAGAACAGGGGACTATATTGACTTATTATTTTCGCACAACTAAAGGTGCATTTATAGAGATCAGGAGAGAAGACTTGCAATCTTGGATTTGTTGTTTCCCTTTATGTGAGCGTCAGCAAGAAGAGTGGTCACTCTTGACTTTGAGAGGGGATATCTCAAAGGGTTTGCTGCAATAGGGACGAGTTGTTTTGTGTTGGCAGGTTTTGTTGTTCTATATTTGATTGAGAGTTTGTGAGGTGTTTACATTAGAGAGTTTCTTTGTAAAGCCTTGGCTGTAATACTCTGATCATTATAGTGAATTACTCTCCAATCTAAGGTTGATTGGGAGGGTGACTGGATGTAGGCATTGAGGCCGAACTAGTATAAAAACTGTTTAGTTTTCTCTCCTCTATCTCTTTGCATTTTTCTTTGTCATTACATATACATGTACTGTTTCATTGCATACAACTTTGCTGCATAAGAATGATTTAAAGAACCTTATAATTTTCGTAAAAGATTTTAAAAGTGCAAGTTATTATAAAACACCAATTCACCCCCAAGGTGTTGAGAAAAAAAGTCCATTAATTCTAATAGTAGTGAATAAGGTAAAGAAAATGCAAAAGAAATATCATAAAACAATGGTCAATAAACATCATACAAGAATGATCACCACATCAATACGTAATGGTCAATAAACATGATAAAACATTGTCTTACATTATCTTATAAGCAAAAGAAACTTTATAGCAACATTGTCTTACATTATATATTACACCACAAAAATCAGATCAAACATTGTTCCTTCATCATTAAACATTACATAATATTCAAAAAATTGTCTTAAAAATGAGAATGCAAACATATTTTAAAAAGTAAACATCAGTTCATTTATCAGATAGAAGCATAATAGATTCCTGAGTAATAGGCACATCTGTTGGTGGAGGTATGGTGACTTGGGTTTGTTGAGTACATTGGTCAATAGGCAGAACTGTTGGAGGTCTTTGTGACAAGATCTTTTGTATTGTCCAAGTTCTTTGCAAATAGCACATGTTTTTTTACTCTCACCCTTTCTTAATTCAGAGTAATTCTTCTTTAACTCCCAAGCCTCTAGTCTTTATTCAGAGTCATTTTTTGGCCTTTCACGTCGAATTTGAGTTCGACGACATATCGGGAGACGTTAAATTGACGTCAAGTTTAAAAAGTTCGACGTTAATCAACAAATAAGTTCTCCAAAACAAAAACTAACCTTTCATAAGGTGGTTTCGTCGGAATAAAGTGTTTCCATCGGTGGGAGAGAAAACAGAATGCGCCTATGAAGAACAAGAACACGAAAATAATCAGTCAGAACAAACGAAAATTATACATAAAGTAGTTAATTAACATACATTTGTATCAAATGAAAGAAAGATTCATGTGATGGTCGTCAAACTTCGTTCGAGAAAAGTTTGATAAGAGAAGGAGGTCTCGCGCGCTAAGACAAAGTGAATGAATTTTCAATCTCCCGCTCAAATTAAAAAGGGGAAACTTTTGGCTAACAAATAATACGTCTAAGCTCCTACAAAATTCGACATATTATATGTAGTTTAAAAGAGAAAAGAGAAAAAGAATTAAAAAGGGGTTACTTTTCGGCTTCTGACTGACAAATAATACATTGAATCCCTTATAGAATTCGATGTATTATTTGTTATTTAAAAGAAAAAAGAATTAGAAAGAGTGACTCTTTGGTTTCTGACTGACAAATTTGACGTTCTACAACTGCATTTATTTAAAAAAATGTCATCGATCATTTTTAACGTTAACTATTCAGTAGTTGAACGTTGAACGCATGACGTTATACATTGTTTTTGCACTAGTGCATATTAGTTGGTGTAATTGTAGTTTATGATTTATTTGTGTTATATATATATATATATATATAATTATTTATTTATTTATGATAAATACAAATCAACAATTTGTATGCAATTTATATATTAACATACATAAAAGAATGGTAAGTGAATATAATCTTGACTTATGATCTACTTTTTTTTTTTAAATAAATCTGTATAAATTGGTTTTGGATAATGAGATTTGGATCGAATATGTACAAACACCATTTTCTTAAAACATGTTTTTGTAACTTTTCTCTTAAATTACTACGATGACTCCTGAATCTATTTACATTATTTTCCTCCTCCCATTAGTTGCCACACAAATCGGTAATAGCATAAATGAGTGGTAAGTACCACTTACATACATGTAGTATTTCTTGACAACAAATTGAGGACATTATTAACGGACAAAGTTACTTAATTTAAAAAAACAAAAAGACAAATTCTATAATTAAAATTTTATAATATCTAAAATGACACATTTGTGAAACTAAAGTGGAAAAAGAATTTAATCATATTATTTAAAACCAGATGACAAGTGTTGAATGTTGAAGGCAAACGTTCGATTGATAATGCTTTAAAACACCAGGTCAACGATACCCTTCGCCGACGGTTTTCATAAATAATCATAGGGTAATTTCGTCCTTTTCTTTTCCCCTGCTGTGTAGTATTTGGTAATTTGGCTTCTTTGTGCAAACATCAACAACAAAATAAACGAATCAAGAATAGAATAGTATGATCACCGACAGAATTGTTGAGTCATTTTCTTCTAAATAGCTTAAATTATTTTCTTCCAAGCAACAAAAGGCTACATGGATACCACCATTATGATAATTCATAGCTTAAATTGTTTGTGATATATTAAGGTTTTAACGTGTGAAGTTGTAATTATCCGGTCCCAAACGTGGCTCATTAAGCGTTGCTAATGTAATCTTATTGTGTAGTTTATGAATTACACGTTTGCATATGTAATAGGGTGCTCGTAACTTACCACTAATGGGTACTTTCTACATGTATATTGCTTATAAGCAAAAGCAAAGTTCCTCAAAATTACTTTGTTGCGTCAGCAAGAGAAAAACATGAAAATGCAAAAGTATATAAGGAAAGAAAGAGCGGAAGAAAAGAATCTAGCTTTTATCTAGTACATAAGGTATTATTTTCGAAAAAAACAATATAAATATCAAGTTGGCATATAATGATAATAATTCACAAAATCTATCTTTGTCTTCTACACCTTTAGCCTTCAAAAAAAACTTCAATGCAAATTAATTTCTTGAATTTTCCTTTTATTACATATATATATATATATATATATATATATATATATATACACTAATATAAAAACTAATTTCAAAATCATACAAAATTTAACACACCCAAACTGATTAATTTTCAATAATGTAGTTGCTTACATTATTATTCCCTCAAAAATCGTTTTAATAGTCATAATAAGAATATTGATCTTTTCAAAATTATCTTCTAAACAATATTTACTATATACTTTTATTTATTAGTTAGTTGTGTTTAATTCCTTCATTTATTAATACATAGAAATTGATTTTTTTTCCTATATAAATCACGTGTATTTTTCACACAACAATTTGTTTCAGTGATACTTTCTCTATAAATATTTCAAGTCAAATAATCAAGAGAGGTTTTTTCATCAGCACTTAAAGAATGCAATTAATTTATACATAAATAAAAGTAAAGTAAGTAACTTCTCAAAATAATTTATCCAAACACTTATTTTTTATGAATACTTATGAAAGGAAGAATATATACGGAGAAAGTATTAACCATATATATGAATAAAGTCGATCCAATTGAGGTTTTTTATCTAATATTAATTGTTCATTATTGTATGAATAACTATAGACATTAATAATTTGCAGAGTAATGAAAAATCTATGCAGGCAACAGTTAAGACAAGGAAAGCAGTTAAATGATAATTTATTGAGGAAGTGTTGAACACAAAAAACAGCAAGGAGAGAGAGTGAGAGAGAGATGAAATGTAGAACGAGAATGTCACTGCCAGTGGTAATGGGCAACCACTGCATGAGTGGACCAACATCAACATCCATGGAAAGGGTCATCATTCATCATGAGACACACGGTTAACAAGGTAACTTAACCAGCAAAAACGGGACCTTGGACTCAAGGTTTTTCCTGAACCATGATAACTAAGTGGGTCCCATTTTCCCTAAAACAAGTAGTGGGGTCACAGTATTTGCTGAACCAGCTGTTCTCTCTCTCTCATTCTCTCCTATCATTGAAACCCTTTGTCCCTTCCCAAGATCTGATTACATTTCCCTGCTTTACAGGGGGAGATAGTGCAAGCGTAATCTCCAAGTTCTTTCATCTTTTTGTTACTTTTTGTTAGAGACACATAGGCCCAGAATAACTTGTAAGTTATTTGATTCAGATCTGTCTCTTTGGTTTCACTTGAGGTACCATCATTTTCCGTCTAAATCTGGACCCCCTTTTTTAAAATTGCTATTTTTGCACTTTCCCATTTCCTCTTAATGTTGTTGGAGCCGTTTAATGTTCAAAGTTCTTCAATTTCTTTCCTTGCTTTGCTTTGGTGAAAATTCTGTTAGTTGCAGAAGGGTGTTGCATAATTTGACTGGAAATGTTGATTTGATTAGATAAATCTGCATTCTGTGTGATTCTTTGCAGTCGAAATGCACAAAAGGAAGATAATTCGGTTCTTCGTACTGTTGGATTCAATATGATTCAGCGAATGAGGATTTCAAATTACTCTTTGTATTTTTCACATGCCATTTGGATTCCTTTTATGGATAAGGATTTGAATTGCTCAATAGTTCAGATCAGTTAACTTTCAATCATTCCTTGATGATAAATTTCTCTACCAGAAGCCAGAAGCTGGTTCCTGGTTTCCTTTTCATAACTTTTTTTCTTGTTTTCAAAAGCTAAAAGGCTTACATAATTAGTTTTTCAGCATCAATTTCATAGCTCTAGTAGCATTTAATAACACCAGTTGGTGTGCTACTGGATTTCCAATTCAAAGACAAACTGAATTCTTGAATTATTTTGGGTTGAGAGATGATATCATGAAATTTACATATTTCCTGTGTTAAGGGTCCAAGTGAGGAATGCAAAGAAAATGGGGAGGAAGGGAAGTTGGTTTTCTACTGTGAAGAAAGCTCTGAGCCCTGAATCAAAGGAGAGGAACTATCAGGTTCTGATGAAATTTATGTTATAAAATATTAATGTTGATTGCAAAAGAATAACTGAGAAGTTCCTGTTATATCATGTGGACTTGCACATTACACCTGAAAGTACACGTTTTAGGAAATTTTTTGAGCTTTTTTACAACAATTTATAGTTAACATTTCTCAGGTATCCAGCATGTTCCTTATAGTGTTAACAACTGCATTTTTCAGAAAACAAGTAGACCAAAGAAGAAATGGTTTGGAAAACAAAAGTTGCAGACTTCAGCGTCACAATCCGAAACTGATAAAGCACCTCCTCTTCCTCCACCCGAGGTTATTTTACCTCACTCTGAGATTGAAACCAGTCATGATGACGTCAAAGTTGAAACTGCAGTTGTTGCCGAGGAACCTGTTCCTGCTGTTCAGACAGAACCTGTGGATGTCCAAGCCACTACAATTGTTCAGTTACACAGTAAACCAACAGAAGAAGTGGCAGCAATAAGGATTCAGAAAGCTTTTCGGGGATACTTGGTATATTTTGCTATTTTACATTTAAACCAATGTAACTGATTCCATTCACCTTCCCTCTTTCCATTATCTGTTGAATATTTCCATTTTTTCTCTACAACTACTTGGGACAAAACCTTAGTTACAATGATGATATAACACTTTCATGTTCACTGTATACTAACAGTTGGTCAATTCAAACTCTTAAAATGTAAATTAGTAGTAAAAAGTATATATTTATTATATGTGCTAAGTTAAGAGGTGATATGTGCTGGAAAGCTTCTTGATTCATGATAAACTGCCTGCAAGCTGAGTTATTTCTCAATAATCATTTAGGCAAGAAGGGCATTGCGGGCTTTGAGGGGACTGGTGAGGTTGAGATCACTCATGGAAGGGCCAGTGGTGAAACGTCAAGCTATTAGTACCCTCCGTTCTATGCAGACTTTTGCACATTTGCAAACTCAGATTCGTTATAGGAGGCTCAGGATGTTGGAGGAGAATCAAGCTCTACAGAAACAGCTCTTACAGAAACATGCAAAAGAGTTAGAGAGCATGAGGGTCTGTGTTTCATTTCCCTTGACTTATTTTCTGTTTTTGATCCTGTTGACATAAAGATAATATTTACTTTACTTTTAGATGAATTTTTAATGCTTTTAACTATTTTCAAATTCCTATAATAGCTTGGTGAGGAATGGGATGACAGTGTACAATCGAAAGAACAGGTTGAAGCCAAGTTACTGAGCAAGTATGAAGCTGCTATGAGAAGAGAAAGAGCAATGGCTTATTCATTCTCTCATCAGGTTTTCTATTTGTCGTGAATTTATATTTGATAGGATAGTGAAACTGAAATTAGAAAGGATATATGAAGCAAATATTTTGGTGAATTCAGAGATCAATTAACTTAGTCTTCTTGTTTGGATAAATTTTTCAATTAAAACTCATAAGAGAAGAAAATAAGAAAGGTAAAATGTATTAAACTTTTTCCATGAAGGGAAATTTGTCCAAACTATTTTGTTATATCACAAAATAATACATAATATATAATGGACTATAATAGGAATATGGCTACTGGTGGGATTTCCTTGAGGTTTTGAATACATTGAACTCCAGTTTTTACCTTAAACAAGTGCTACTTTATTCTTTACAGCAAAACTGGAAGAATTCATCAAGATCCATAAACCCAATGTTCATGGATCCAACCAATCCAACCTGGGGTTGGAGTTGGTTGGAGCGATGGACGGCAGCCCGGCCCTGGGAGAGCCATAGCTTGGTGGAGAAAGAGAAGAATGACAATAAATCTATTAGAAGTTCTGGCCGTGGCATTACCAGTGCTGAAATCAGCAAATCATTTGCTAAGTTTCAGCTCAATTCTGAGAAGTATTCTCCAACAGCGAGCCAAAATCCAGGCTCACCTAACGTTGAGTCACATTCCCAGCAATCGCATTCAAATCCTCCCAAGTCAGCTTCTCCAGCAGCTGCTAAGAAGCTGAAGAAAGTGAGTCCAAAGGACATCATGGCTATAGATGATGAGACCAAAAGTGTGATGAGTGTGCAGTCAGAGCGGGCAAGGAGGCACTCCATTGGTGGATCAACAGTGGGAGATGATGAAAGCCTTGCAAGCTCCCCAGCAATTCCAAGTTACATGGTGCCAACTAAATCTGCCAAAGCCAAGTCCAGAATGCAAAGCCCACTAGCTGCAGAAAATGTGACCCCAAATAAAGGGTCCCCTGCTGGGACTGCAAAAAAACGTCTTAGTTTCCCTGCTTCACCTGCTAGACCAAGAAGGCATTCAGGTCCACCAAAGGTAGAAATCAGCTTCAATGCTGAAATCGCTGTGGGAAATGGTGTGTCTGGCTGATTACATAGCCACAGGAAAACGATGAAAAAACAAGAAGTTGAAATATGGTGGCAAGAATAAGACAAAAGTTCATTTGAATTGTCCCTTAATTTATTTATTTATTTATTTATCATGTGTATCTTCGTCTTATCATTTTTATATTGATTTGGGGTGAAAACTGTTTTGCCTACTACATTTGTGTATTTGTCGTATTCCACGCCTGGTATGTACTCACAATTTGTGCTGAGGGGATCAAAGGTGGTTCATGAGAGTTCTATGGACAAAAGAGCATTCAGCTGCAGAATGACTTACTGAGCCTCCCCCAGTATCTTTCTGCTACTATTCATTCTTATTTCTGATATAAAATGTATATTTAATTTCATTGCCCCCATTATTTGAGTCAGTTAAATGTTAGTGTGTTCTGTAACCTCAGTATGAGTACTTTTTCGGGTGTGGGATCACAATTAACGTTTCTTCACACTTTTTTGTGAATTCTTTAACGTTGTATTGATCTTCATTACTAAGCTATTTTTAGTCCTTCGTCTTCAAATTTCTAGCGTACGTATGTTCGATCATTTAATATATTATAAATTTTGAAGTGGGTTTTTAATTAAGGTTGACTTAATTAGGATCCAAAAATAAGTATGTTTTACTTGTAAATGTGTTAGATTTGTGTTTGCTTATGTCTAATGGAAGGATAACTGGTCGTTTTAGTGGTGTGCCAGTCAGTCTACATTAACTTAGGATTGAAATCGATAAACTAACGTTTACCTGGAGACATTTGCAGTCCGGTCAAAATTCTTCCAAGAACATTGGCCGCCCGATCAATGATACGTCAATGTTCTTTCAGGAACATTAATCGTCCGGTCAATGATAAATCAATCAGTCATAAATTCAAGTGTTTGTAACTATGCTTTCATCCTGTTAATTGGTTTGTAAATATATATATTGATCATATTTTTCACTCTTAAAAGCATTTTGCAACATATTTTGTTTTATATTCCATAATTTGATTTACTTTAGTATTAAAAAAAGTAAATAGTTACAAAATATTATTTAAATATAAAATGAATCAGAAATTTGAATTGTTGAATATAATGAAAATTATATATGGGATTAATTTTCTTCGTGTTGAATATATACATAGGATCTTCTATTTATAATAGAAGAAATATGAGCTAAGTTCAAAATACAAATAATAACAAATTAACTAAAGATAAAAGATAAATATAAAATAAAGATAATATATCTATCACTCTCTCTCAAGCTGGTGCATACAAATATGAACCAAGTTTGTTACTAATATAATCCCTAAAGACTTAGTGAAAACTCAGAAGACTCCCCTTGAGCAACAAATCTAGGAGGTTGCTCCATGTAAATCTCTTCTTGCAAATCGCCTTTGAGGAATGCCACCAGTGGATAAAGAAGTAATTGTTGGAGAGCGACCACGTCTATAAATAAACAAACAAAAACCATCTTTTCCATGAAAAAAAAAACATATATGGATGGATCAAACGCAATGGATGATCACGAGAAAGAAACTATAAAAATCAAAGATTCTTCAATCAAGGCACCTAAAAATGAAAAAAGAGCAACCTCGATACTCTGAATAGCTACCTGAGAGGACGAGACGTGCAACAACACACAATAAACACGACCTCGACACTCTGAATTACTACTAGACATGCCACCATACACAATGAAAAAGGGAGTAAATCCATAATTTCAAAAGGCGCTGAGAACACATAAGAGCTTCGATGAGGCATCGTTAATGACATCATGGTCGCCTGGCCGAGACAATCAAAATCATGTGATCGTCAGTCGAAACTAGAACTCCAGTAGTGACAACGGTAGACGATGGCGCCGCTGACAACAATAGATGGTGCCACCGTCGTATGTAGTGGCATAGGCACCAAAAATGTTTTCCTCAAAAGAACGTAGCTCTAGATACCATGTTGAATATAGTAAAAATTATATATGAAATTAATCTCCCTTTGTTAAATATACACATAGAGTTATTTATCTATAATAGAAGAAATATGCACTAAACCCAAAATATAAATAATAACAAACTAACTAAAAATAAATATAAAATAAAAATAATATATCTAACGTAAATAAATAAAAAAAAATAATTAGTTTCATGATCTTTTATAAAGGAGACATAAGCTTTGTTCGCTTCATATTTTCTATTCATGCGGATGTAAAGCGGGACCCATGCGTGTTTATTTTCATGAATCAATGTGTATTTGAGAGTGATCATTTAGGATACAAACTTAAAGAAATCCTTGGTGTGGAAGAATTAATGTGAATATTAAATGTTTTTATTTAAATGTCCGATAACTTTTCTCCCATTACACATTATTCTCTTTCTTTTATTGTGCATGAATACGTAAACATATATTTGCTATTGTGGGCGGTTAAGCAAAACACAGATTCAATTTTTTAAAAAAATTTTAATTACAAAACTAAATATTTAATTTTTATTTTATAGCTAATAAAATGTATTTTTTTCTACTACAATAATTATTATTTTTTCAAAACTATTCATTTAACATTTTTTAAAATAATTCCAACTAATCCAAAAATAATTTTATACTACTTTTAACATTAAGGGAAATTGGTAATTTTCTTTTTTATTTATTAAAATATTTTTTAAATTTATCGGTTAAATTTCTCACAAACTTTACTTCTAAATTCATTATCTATGACTTCCAAATTCTTTCAAAAAAATAATACACATTTTACTCTCAAATTTATTAAATTCATTCACTCACTCTTCTATCCATCTTTACATCTTCACAAGTGAACACATCTTTAAAGTTAAATAAAAAAATATAGGCTTAATTACTTATTTTGTCTCTAGTTTCGCTCAAATGTGTCAAGTTGGTCCATCCACTAATGGAAAAATTGTTTTTTATGATAGGTAAATATGACCTATTATGATAAGTAACCTGGCATCATAGTTTTGGACATCATAATAGGTTTGCCCATTTTATGACGTAGTAGAAAATTATGTCATAATAAGTTCAGCGTATTATGACCTACTTTCATTCACCTATCATAATAGGTCCAGTATATTATGATAGATTTTCATTTATCAATCATAATGTAACGAATATATTATGATGTAGTTAGACTTACCTATCATAATATGTAATGTTTATGATGTAAATCTTTTCACCTATCATAATATGTTGAATATATTATGACAAGTAATTGTTCACCTATCATAATATATGCTTTTAATAAATAAACTTTTATTACAATGCCACGTGTCGCATGTTTATTTGTTTATTTTAAAATAATTTTCTTTTAAAAACTGTCGAAATGGACGTAGGTAAGTTTTGTTTTAAGTGATAATCCGAAAATACCCCTGTTTGTTCATTGGAAATGAAGGTCTCGTTTCCCTGCGTCTTCATTTTGCTTTCTCTGTGATGGTTTTCTGTGCGTGGTGTTCTCTCCCTCCATTTTTGTAAAGGTGTTGTTTTTCGTAGATGTTCTAGTGCGCAATGGCAAGGTCCGGTGAGCATTGTCTGACGGCGAAGGTAAGTGGTTTTTCATTCCATTTCGTTGCATGGTTTTTTGGTTTGGGTTTAGGTTTGGAGTTTGTATCATTTTGTTTTGCTTATTGGGTTTAGTAGTTTTGCTTATTTTATTTTGTTTGATGTACTTGACCGTTCGTCACTCTTTTTCGACAAAGTATATATGTACTTTGAACGAATGCTTGACAGACGAGCATCGGTCATTGATAAGAAGACTCCATTTTCGTGGTTTTTAGATGTGAATGTAAATGTTAAACTAGGTAGAAATATATTGAGTGAGTTATTGGGTAAGTGGGATGACTCGAGTAGTGGTTTTTTTGTTGGAAATAAAGTTTTGACTATAAATGAAAATGATTTTTATTTAGGGTTGGGATTGAGTACAGATGGTGAAAATATTAACTTAAAGGAGGAAATGGAAAATATTCAATGTGTGAAATACATAGGTGTGACTACCATATCCAAGAAATATTGGGGGTGGACACTATCAACACAAAGGTACACTTGTCAAAATTTGCAAAACAATTTGTGTTTTAAGAATTGTTAAAACAAACTCTCAAATGATTTTACTGAGTCTTGCAAGTTTTGACATATACCAAGGATCATCAAGTAGACAAAACTAACAAACTTCCCAATGCAATCCCTAAGAACATGATCATAAGTCTCATGAATGTGCTTGGGCATTTGTAAGACCAAAAGGCATTAACTAGCCATTCATATAATCCAAACTTGGTCGTAAAGGCCAGTTTTCCCCCCCATTCACACCTTCTTTAATTCTTATTTGGTGATAGCCACTTTTAAATCTACCTTTGAACATATTGTGCTAATGCAACTTCATCTCCAACATATCATCAAGTCTAGGGAATGGGATGTCTATATTGATTGTTGATGTTGTTGATTAGCCCTACAATCAAACCACATGCGCCACTTCCCATCTTTTTTTCGTACAAGCAACACTGGTACAGCACAGGGGACTTGGGCTCTTTTGAGTAAAGCCTTTTCTAGTTAATCTGGACTTGTGTTTCAATCTCATTAGTTTCTTGGGGGTTTGTCCTTAGGGCTGGCCTATTAGAGAATTGCACTGGAATGAAATCAATTTGTGTTCTATTCCTTTATGGGGGGAAGACCCTTTGGAATTTTTTTGGAAAATAGATAATCAAATTCTTCAAAAAGTTTTTGAATGGTTGGAGAAAGAGTTTGAAGTCTTTGGATTCACTAGATATGCATGTAAGTGTCCCTTGACAAAAGAAGAAAGGTATGAAGGTTGCTCAAATTGAGGTGTATGAGTAGGAGTCTTTTTGTTTAAAAATACTTCATGTTGGTGACTTAGGTGGTACATTTATCTCTATACCTTCCTTTCTTTGACTTTTTCTTTTGTCATGTCTGCTTTCTTAAAATCCTTAATTTGTGCTTGATCTTAGCAACTTGGCAGGAGCAAAGGAATGAAGCACAAACTTCTTGTCCTTTTTGATGGTAGTGTAGTGATGGTATTGGTTAGACCATGGTGGATAGTTGGAGGATCAAATTGCCATGGTCTCCCCAAAACACAGGACTGCTTCATGGAACTATATACATAAACTTCTTCTTTGGAAAATTCCCAATGGAAAATGCCAACTTCACTTGATTCTTGACTATTATATCCCCATCTTCATTTAACCAATGAAGTTTATAAGGTTTTGGATGGGGTATAATATCAAGTTTTCAACTTCTCAACCAACCTTGTGCTACAACAATTGCAACAAGATCCACTATCAACAATGAGAGAACAATGATTTTCTTGAATTTTACATCTTGTGTGAAAGATGTTCTCTCTTTGTGATAGGTGTTCAAGACTTGGTTGGTTGCTAAG